GGGGTTGAGGGCACTGGCTTGGGTGTTTTCAAAAGCTTCCAGGCTGATTCTAGGGTGAAGCCAAGGCTGAGGGCCTCTGCTCAGATGAATGAAACGACAGCAGTGTTCAACTGCCTGGCCCGTGATGCGAGTGTGGCTGCGAGTTTGCCTTCTCACACATCGGCGTGTCTGTACCTTCCTGCGATGAGCAGCTGCTCACCTTAGGAACGGCTCTCACTTTCTCTCTAGGTTGTCAAAACTGAGTTCGGGATTAAACCCGATCATGTGTCCGTGTGTCGACCTGGCCAGTCTCCTGAGCCAGCTGCCATCAGTCCCAGGGCATTCTGGCCTTGCTAAGGAGGTCCCTGTGCCCAGGGGCCTCTGTTTCCAGTCTCGGTTAAGATGTCATCCTTTCAAGATTCTTGTTTGCACAACTGTAGACACAGAGAAGGAAGGAGCTCGAAGCCGCTTGCATTTTTGGTTTGGGGTTTGAGTCAGTTCCCTTCTTGGATGCCAACCTAGTGGCGAAGGCCCTACACTCAGCCCACCCTCGGGGCACCTCCCACACTTTTCACAGAGAAGGCGCGGTCTCCCCCCCAGACCTCAGGACCAGCCAGCCAGCCAGCCCAGCACCCGCATTCCCAACACCCCAAGCCTGGGTCTCGACCACACGTGGTCAACACAGTCTCAGCCTTACTCGCCCAAAGGTGACCAGCAATAGGAGCTGAGCCACCACGTTTCTCTTCACTCTTGAAATGTGCTGAGGACATCGGTTGAATTTTCTCTGGCTCAGTCCTCCCATTTGAATAATGGGAACAACACTGTCCTTCACCTCACGGGGTGACAACTACCTTATCGACAGTGGAGGCACTTGGGTGAAAGCTATAGCTTATAAGCACTAAGTATTATTATTTAGCAACCACTGAGTTGGTAAATGTATCCATTCATATCGATTTTTTGGAAGAGAGCTTTAAGGCGTGAACAGCAGCAGACATGTAGCTAGATATATTTTCGAAAATATTTTTGTGTCTACTAACTTAGAAAATGTCCCAAATATTAGATATTGTTTCTGAAAGCACCTAAATTGTATTCTTCTTCAAATTATTATTATTATTATTTCTAGAGCTACAGAAAAATCCTTCATGAAAAGTGAGGGTATGGGGACTTTAATTCAGGGGACTTGATGTCCCTCCCCTTGGCCAGGAATGTGGCTGCAGCCATGGGGTCAGCTGGGGAGACCTGTTGACTTTCTGGTCCCCTCTGACACCTTGCAGTGTCTCTTCTGATTGACACTGTGAATGGGCATTGCCGCTTGGGCAGGGAGGGAAGGTTGAGTTGGTTCAAAGCACGCCTCCTCTAGCTTCCTGAGCAGAGCTAGGGGGAAACCTGGCGACTCCCCCTTCTAACCAGAGGGGTTGGTCCCTTACAAGCTGTCACCACAGAAAGAGAAGACCTTTGGCTAACAGAGAGCCCGACTGATGCAGGCGACTGTATTGCTGTGGAAAGGCAGGGTGCAGGAGCCCAGCAAGCTCACTGGGGCCCCCTGCTGGTCACTAGTCCTCCTGGGTGCGCTAGTGAAAAGAAGCAATGCTTACAGCTGATGGAAACCCCATTCCCTTGAATTTAGTCTGCCTCCTGCTGACAAAACCATGCGCAGCATGGAAAGGGAGGGAAGGCCCTTCTGATGCTGATGTATGAAAGCAATCGCTCACTAGACTGAACAAAATTTCTGCGGTTGCGTTAGGGGGACCACAAAAACGGATTCTGATGAAATTACCAAGCCACTGTGACCACTTTTGTTTATGCGCTCCCGCCAAGGGGAATCAGAGTTGCTGAAACAGAAAAAAAGTTTCCCAAAGGAAAAACCAGCGTCCTCTTTGTTGACCTGAGAAAGTTTACCACAACTCCATTCAAAACCTTCAGGCACTTGACTTCTTTTGTTTTTGTTTTTAATATCCTTTACCTTTTTAATAAAAAGTAAAAAACAAACAAAAAAATACATCGATGTCCTGAATAGAACCCCTCTATGTAAAGGTCTCACTAAACAAATAAACATAGAACCAGACAAAAGAAATGGAGCTGCAAATAGCAATATAATATATTATGAAGCGCTTACATATGTATGTATGTGTCATATATGAGTGTGTGGGTATATGTGTGTGCACCTATGTATGTACACAGATGTAAATATTTGCCTACATACGTCACACACACATATTTATACTGACCTCTTTAGATTGAAGTCCAAGGCACTTTTTACAATGGACAGGTTAAAGCCATTAACTTAGAACATAACTGTTTCTGGGTACATATCGATTTATGGCGCCAATATCACAGTTCGCACCTCTCCCCGCTCACCTCGGAGTGTCTCCGGTTGGTGTAAAGGGTACGAGAACTGGCTTAAGAAGAGATTAGGAATGTTTCTAGACGCGAAGACTAACTCCTCTGGCTAGTTTCCTCTAGGGAGGAGGGTTCCCGCTGCTGGGATGCTGGCCCCAGGGAAGGAGCACTATGTCTGCACTGTCCTGGGCAGACCTTCCCGGACCCGCCCTGCGGGGCCAGCGACATTCTGATGGCCTGGCCAGCACTGGCTAAAACGAAAACCCTGAAAAGGGGCGGTGAGGGGGCTCAAGGCTGTGCAGTGAGCATTTACAAAACTAAACTGGAGACAGACCCTCTCTTTGCGTCCACCACCCAAGCTCTGTGGCCTCAAGTCATCAACTCATTCCGCAAAAGGAAGAAACGGTTTGATTTTCTGACCCTTAGTGATGCTGGTTACCATTGCTGTGGGTAAGGCCGGTGCTTCTCAATACTCAAAGTGTGTATGGATCGCCCGGGGACCCTGTGAAAAGGCCAAATTCGATGCAGTGGGCTGGCGTGGGGCCCGAGACTCTGCATTTCCAACAAGTCCCCGGATGAGGCTCCTGCTGCTGGTCCGTGGCCCACACTTTGAGTAGCAATGGTTAGCATACAGCCATGTACCTGAATTCTTGTTGGGGTGGGGGCTTGGGGAGGGGCAGGCTGCTTTCCCCAAATCAGGAATGTGTGTTGGTTTCCTCAATCTAGATGGAGTCATAACTCTGAGGGGGAAAGATTAGAATATATTCACTTACTATGCATGCAAAAGCCTTGGTCTGAGGAGCGCTAGAAGGGAAAGCAAAAAAAAAAAAAAAAAAAAAAAAAAAAAAGACATTTCAGTTCTATTTAGTAGCAGAAAAATATAAAGAGACAAATCAATTACCCCCAGTACATTCATCAGTCAATTATAAAACAGAATAAATGAATCCCCATTGCCCAGGGAGTGAGTAACCGGCTGAAACAGGTGCCCTGGCGTCCTGATGGCTTTGATGGAGCTCAGCCTAACGTGTAACTGAGAAGCAGCGCGGATGCGGAGTGAATGCCATCCAATCAGAACAGAATGTGTGTTAAGTTAGGTCTCAGCTGCACAGGCAGGTGGAAGCTGGGCATTTAGAGATTTGTCCTTCAGATGACACGAATCACTAAGCTCAGCCAGCCCCCAGCCTTAACTACATTGAAGCTCAAATAAATGGAGCTCTGAGAGGACCCCAGCCCTTTTTTTTTTCCCCAGGAGGAAGCCTGCTGCTTGGCACTGCCAGCATGCCTGTGTGGGTTTGCAGAATTTGGGCAAGGAGGAGACAAGCGCACCCAGCGAAGTCTGCCCTGGCGCTGCTTGGTTTGCAATGCCATCCCAAAGTGAGGGTAACAAGTGAGGGGCCTCAGGGGGGGGGGGGGCGTTGCTTCTGGGGAACCTTTGTTCTGTGACCAACACACCATGTTTTCATCGAGTGCCCCCGCCATTCAAAGGAGGGGAGTGAGAAACTCTCTGTGTGTCTCAACTGCCGTGTCGGAGAAGGAGGGCAACGGCCTTCGTAGTTGCTTACGTACAGGCTTTCCCCCAATGTTTCCCGTAAAGGAAAACATCTGGATGGAACCCTCTTTCCTCCCAGCTGCAGTCAACTAGTGGGAACGGAAGCCTGCCTCTTTGCTGATCTTGCTGCACAGGCCCTCCCCTCTCCCCCCTGTCCCTCAGGAGCTGCGCTCCACATTGTGGGTACACAGCGGGGACCTCGCTCCCTCCAAAGGTGCTCCCAACTCCGAAAGCCCATCGGCACAGGAGGCTCACAGCGAGCCCCGAGGAGGTGGGATTCCGGGCCAGCGTTTACTCTGACACAGAGAAACCCAGAATGCCTAGAATTTTGAGTCTTTTGTGTCACAGGAGAGCATGACTCTTCCCGATGCCCGATTCTGACTCAGCCGAAGGAAACACTGGCTGAGTTTGAGGCCTATCGTTCACGTCATGGGGCCTTTGAATTGACATAGAAAGAGCCTGCTCTCGTATTAAACTGGCTCTGCACAGCTACTAAAGGAGTAATGGCTTTAAAAAAAGTCTCTTCTGGAATGGCTTGATAGAATCTGGGGTGGAAGTATCCTCCTAAGCCCACAATAATGTCCTCTTGTTTCTAACAGTCGGGTCTCGGAGAATGAGGCTATGGCAGTTGTGTAGGCTGAGGGCCTTGTTCTGGGGCTCGGGCATCACTCGCAGGGATGTGTACTCAGAAACAGTCATGGGGAGAGCAGGCCGACACTTGACCTGCCAAAGACTAGTTGGATACAAAATGTTAATGGAAAGTTACAATATATTTTGTAATATAGCAATATATTTCATATTTAAAATAAACTGATATGCTTTCTCCTATCATTAAAAAATAGCAAGCAGTACAGAGAGGCAAGATGCAAATTCATAGTGAAGCTCAGCTGATTCTGAATATAAACACTTCAGTTTCTGAGTTTGCCATGAAAACGTTTCCTCCATGAACATCCTGTCATGCTCTTCTGTCCTTCGCTTCTGGTCGGTGCAGAATGAGAGTCTGGGGCCAACGCTGAGTGAGTTGCTGTGCCTTTAAACACTGTGTCCGATGAAGGTGAATCGGCCTTGGTTGAGATTCAAGAACTGAAATAATACGACACGGTTAGAGAACGCCATTTATTCCCTGTCCGCCTGGGAATCTGGATGTGGGCTGTTCCAATCAGATTCATATTTGATTTGTCATCGATTTTTTTTTTTTTTGGCTATAAATTCAGCATTTCTTTGGGATCCTCACTTCAGGTTGATATTAAATTTTGTGCTTTTCCTCCATCAGCCTGGCTGGCCACAACGTCTCTTTTGTTTGTTTCAACACATGGTCCGGGTCCAAGGTGACCGCTTCCAGAATGCGATTCTCAGGTGTGTCAATGAGTGTCACAGGGCACTTGGCACCTAGATTGGAGGTCATACGTTGAGGATTGGATCATGGTTTTGTTCAGAGGGAACTCCAGTTTGTGTTTGGGCGCTTCCAGTAATGGTGTAAGAAAAAAAAGATCACAGTTATTTCCTCCTAGCCTAGATTAGAATATACCATTGCACGGAATACTGTTTAACAAGCTTCCATCTATGCCAGTACATAGCTACATGTCCCTTGCCTGACAGGAGTTTAATATTCATTTCTATTCATGCAACCTGGCACAAGCCTGCAGGACGAAGCGCGCTCACCTACGTTCTATGCCGGAGGCCGACAGTGACTATTGCTATCCCGGAACATCCTTTCTTAGTGGGGTCAACAGCCGCGTTCCCCATGATTACTTTGGTGGCAGCAGAGAAGGAAGGGAAACTGTCCAGAGCGCCATCAAGCTGTCTGAATGCAGGGGGAAGGGAAGGGGCTGTTCCGCGCCTACCAGGAAGCCACCAGGTAGCTGTCTAAGGTACTGAAACCGGACGCAGCGGAGTCCATAGGGGACAGCAAAACGACCACTAACGGATCCTTCATCTGCTTCCCAGCAACTTCCAGGGAAGTAGAATGACTGGATGGACCTGGGGACACAGTTTAGGATTTAAAGGCAGTAACTTAAGAAGAGGAGTAACCTACTGGTAGTGCAAGGCTCTCATCGTGGCCCAGGTGCGGTGCTGTGATGGCAGGGCAACACTGATTCAGAATCGGGGTGCACTGCTTGTCGGGGTGCACTCTGAAGAGCAGAGAGGTCCCGGAGCTGTGTGCTCCTCCTATCTCTCTCCCTGTCTACTTGATAGATAATAATGATTTTTTGGTAACTCCTGATTGCCTTCAGCTGTCACGTCAAAGTGTGGGTTAGATAGATTTGGTCTGGCTTGCTGTTGATGACAATAGTGATTCCATTTTTTTTTTTTTAAATCGATTGAATACCTTGTTCTTAATAACATTAACTAGTGTCTTCATTTTAAGTACAGACAAACTGAGGTATGATGTGGTTTTATGAATTGGCCAAAGATGGGGATCCAGTGTTAGAATTTTATTCTGATTCTGAATCTCTAGTTTTCTTCTTTTCCACGATCACGCACTCACAAGGACATTACTGAAATCTAAGGGGGAAATCCTCAAATATATGAAAGTCATTAGTTTTTCCAGCCGGTGCCTTCTTATCCTTAAATAAACAATAGCTTGCCGTTGCTCAGCACTTTGGAACTTACTTGCACATACTTTTCCTCCACCTCCTAAGTCACGAGGCTGCTGTTACACCACTGGTCCCTGCTGAGGTCACTAGTGAGGGTGACTCAGGGCCTTGAGCCTCTTGCTCATTTGGGTCATATTAAGCATTTCTGGAGATAGGAACTCACGAAGTTACATATTATGAGGGTTGCGAGAGCGGTTCATAGATACCTTATGGCAATTTATTCCTGATGATCCTACGTATGTGGCCTTTGAGCCAAAGGTGATTTCCGTTTGGACTTCAATCTAAGGAGGAGTGAGCCCCTAGTCTGGTATGAGTTACAACTGATGCTATATCCTGAAGTTCCACTGAGATTAGTGGTCTTAAAGTATCACAGTACATCCCTGACTTTACAGTACATGAGGCTATAATATGGCTTAAGCGATGGGGGTAGAGGGGGGAAGTGGCCCTGTGTTATTGTTTTTTCAAGTGTCTAGATATTTTAGGGAACATTAGGGTACTTTGACCTGTTACTAAGTTATCATGAAGGTTATAGTAGGGACTCTGCACTAGGTCAGCCTTCCAGGAGTGGACAGAACTCAACCAGTTCAGCATTGGAGGGGATCGTAATGCACAGTTTTTTACATAGAGCCAATTCTTGAGCAGATCATTAAACCTCCTCCACCATCAAACTTGAAAATAAGGAACAAGAGGGCATGGTATGAGAGTCCGCCTGCCCTCTTCCCCCCTCGGCCTGTGATGCTGAAGCACAGTGGGATCAGCCAAAAGACTGGCTGTGAGAGGAACATCCGGGTAACATACCCTGGATCATCCATACCTAAGTCATCGGGGGTTGATTGTCCTTGCAGGAGAATGGGTAACTTCCCACATCCAGCTGAATTACTAGCACAGAGAAGCAGCCTTCCATTTACCAGTGCAGATCAACATGCAAATTTGATGACTTTTTTTTTGGAGGGGGGGGCGGGGGGGGGAGATTAAGTATTCTTTTGCCAACAATAAAATCCATCCATAGCTATTGCACTACCAATAGGTCAAGGCATGCTCCCAATGCCAATGTGTTTCTAGGATGCCAGTGGCTACTGCTACTGGAAGTAACTCCAACCACACCCTTTACTAGTGTTGCTAGCATGGTCTTCCGCGCTCAACTAAGTGTACAACATTCATGATGGATTACAGACGATTTATCCACAGACTGGGTGGGTCAATGATGGTCTGTGCACACTTTGGGGCTGGGGGAATGGCAGTGGAATCTTGCACGTCATTTATTTGAAATGAAGGATAAATTGATATTTGTGTGCACGTGCACACACACACACGTATCACAGCGCTGAGCAGAGTGGAAAGGGTGAATAGGAGTGAATAGTTGAGGGCTGTAGGTTAAATGGTCAGAGTTGGCACCCTCAACTTGACCTGGCAGTGGTCCTTACTCCGTGAAATGGAACTGATGCTTTAAAGAGACTGCATGGTCATGTCACCTGTTTACACATGGGTTTGTATGTTCAGCTGAACCGCCACTGAAAGCAGGAGCGCCATTCTTGGGCCATGAAAACGGAGAGAGATCCTTCCGAGAGTCAATAGTTAAAAGGACAAAAACATAAAAAGCCAACAGCAAGGGCGGCATCTGTGGTGTGCAAAGCAACCAATGAAAATGTTCAAAGGGATTATCGAATAAACATGAGACCATGAAAGGAACAGCAACACCAATTAAATAGGTTAAAAAAAAAAAAAAGTTTAGCAAGAGTGGCCTTAGTTTGCCCTGGCCAGGTGGCTCAGTTAATTGGAGTGTCATCCTGTACATCAAAAACGTTGCAGGCTCAATCCCTCGTCCGGGCTCATATGGGAGGAAATTGATCAATCTCTCTCTCTCTCTCTTTCTCTTTCTCTCTCACTTCCTCTCTAAAAATCAATTAAAACATATCCTCAGGTGAGGATTAAAAAAAGAAGAATGGCCTTAGTTCTAGAGTCATCCACCTTTTGCTGGTTCCCTTGTCTCAGGAGACCAGGCCAGTCCGGCAGAAGGAAAGCCAGCCCAGCCAGAACACGGCCTCCAGAATGGCGGCGGCGTCCTGCACAAAGCGAAGCCCAGCAGGGCAACCAGGACACCCTTTTGTTTCACCCTAAACAGGCAAAATGCTCCATGCAGCATCCTGTAGCTCCCCATGGGCAGACGTCAAAGGCCTCAGAGTGAGAAAGTGATGAGCAACACGACGCTTCCACATGACAACTGCTATGTGTGGTTGGTCACGGAGCCCTGGAAATACTTTGCTTCCCACAGGCCCCCTCCTCACAACGCCTGTCCCTACACTGGATGGCAATGTTTCTGAAGTCTCTTGGAGTTGGCGAGATATTAGAATAGTTTTTGCACCAAGGTTAACATGGCACAGTAGGAACAGGCTACAGACATATCCATGTCATCTCACCTGACCCACAAGGTTCCCTAAGGGATCCCTTTAATCTCATAATATTTCATGTGGAGGTGATTTCAGGTCAGGTAGAAGGGACCCCATGGGGCACATGACCCCTTTGTACTCCTAACATCTGGACCTGGAGACCCGTTGCTGGATACATCTCGCTGAGCGAATCCCCAGACAACACGTCTATTTACTCAAGTGTCATTGGGTCGCCCCTGCCTGTGCCTGTGTAGACCCCGTCCCCCACATGCACACCCCTGGTCACGTGCTCCATAGGAACATGACTCGTTCGGATATAAGAAGAAAACTCTGCAAAGCTGTTATTTTTGGAAGGCTGCTTATCCCTCCAGAATGCCAACAGTTTTAGCTTGGCATCCTCTCAAACCCAGCAACCTGGTGCACATCCAGGATGAAGCAACCTGTACTGTGTCTGAAGGGACCTGTACCTTCTGTGAAGCTCAGCATGTGGCCAACACCAGAAAGCTCCCTGGATGGAAAGCACCCACACTGGGGTCCAGACCAACTCAACACACATTTAGAGAGAGTGCCTACTGTGTGCAGGGGAAGGTGCCAGGCCCCTTTTCATTTGGGTCAAGTTCAAAGACAAGACAAGACTTGGGTGGGATGTGGGATGTGTGTGTGTGTGTGTGTGTGTGTGTGTGTGTGTGTGTGCACGTTCTTGCAAACACACAGGTTTATATGGGTATTGATATTGGATGGATGGGAAATCTGGCTTTTTATTTTTCTGGGTGTTTTTTTTTTCCCCTCCATCTCAATTGGGCTTTATGATTGTATAAGGTTTGGGAGGAAAGAATGACTGTTTTTGGCAAGTTGTGGGCAGCTCTCTTTTCCTTTTGCCATCCAGCGGCTCCCTCAGACAAAAGGAAAAGAGAGAGGTGTGCTCGAGGACCCCAGTGGTGAGGAGCCCACTCCCCAAGCCTCACACGCCCCCTCCCCCAGCGGGACCCTCTCTGGGCGGATCACTGTTGGCCGCGTCAAGCGCATGTGGCTCCCACTCCCGCTGTGAACACCTGAGATTGAGCGTGGATTTCTGTTCTCCACCAGCTCTGCAGCAAGGGCCCTGCCAGAGGTGTCGCTTCCTGTCATCTCAGCTTCCTGCTTCCAAGGAGAGGCACCTAAACAGAGATTAGATTTCTGGTTTCAAGGCATATCGAACCAAGCACGCTGAATGAACATGAGTTAGTTAAGTAGCTCGGACTCTCTTCTTTACATTCCCTGGTCTCAGCGTTCCTTGACGGCAAAGGGACCAGGAGAGAGCTGATTTGCATCTTAAGACCTATGGGTAATGCTTCTGGAGCGGGGAGGTTTATTTAGCAACTGCTTGAACTTGTGTACGGGGTCGGGAAGGAGGTGGAGCTGACCCCAATCGGGCTGTCGGAGAGTGGGGTGTGGGTGGTGCCCACTGCCACGCTGACGCCCCGGGCCTCGATGATGGCCGAGAGCAGCTGCTGCTGCTGCTGGCGCAGCGTGTCCGCGATGAGCACGGGCAGGGAACTGAAGCTGGCTGTGAGGTGCTCCAGCTTGGACTCCAGGCTCCCAATCTGCTTCTCCAGGTCCTCACTCCGATCATTGAGCTCCGTAATTAAGTCATACATGACGTTCTGCATCTGGAGGAGGGGCAGAGGGGCGAGAGTCAGGGGACCACAGGTCATCACAGAGCAATCTGCAGTGGCCAGCGTGCAAACGCCTCCAGATTCCAACAGGAGTAACTTCCACTCCAGCCACGCCCGGCGTGGCCAACGTGGCTGCAGCTTACTTTCTGGGAGACACGGAGGCTCAAGGGGAACGCTGCGTTCCCCTCCCCCCATTACAAAAGTAACGCATGTCCTATATAATAAAAGGGTAATATGCAAATCGACCCCAACGGCAGACTGACCAGAATGACTGCTCGACCAGTCACTATGAGGCACACTGACCACCTCTTGGTCCCTTTCCCTGGCTGGCAGGCTCCCATCACCCAATGGCGAATGGAGAACTGGGGGTGAGTGGCAGGGGATGTGGGCCGTGCCAGACCAAGGCCCCCGCCCCATTGGTTGCCCTCACACACAGAGAGCAACCTGCAATGGGGGCGGGGACAGTGAGTGGGCGGGAACAGCCAACCTCTTGGTCCTCCTGCCCCCCTCTCCCAGGCCAGCAGGCTCCGATCTATCGTCTGATGGCAAATGGGGAACCGGGAGTGGGTGGGGGGGAGAGGCGGGGCTGGCTGGCAGCCAGGGAAGATGGCCCTGGTTGCAGGCCAGGCCTAGGGACTGTATCCGCACATGAATTTCGTGCGCCAGGCCTCTAGTTCATTATAAAAAGATATTAGAGAATATGTATAATGGGAAAGAAGCAGCCCTTTTTTCTTAAATGGAGAGTTCTCATATTACTCCCAACTTTTAGTTCACATGGCGCTGGCCCCTGGTGATTAAAGTGACGCCAATGGTGGGGAGCAGATAATGTGAGACTTGGGAGCACACTCCCAGGTGCTCCTGAGGCAGCAAGGGCTGAGGGCCAGCCTGCCGGTCGCTCTGTGTCCTCCCGCCAGGTACTGTGGCTCTCGGGCTCCTGGTCGTCTGCCAGTGACACCCTGATCCTATGTCATCCGAAACTTCAAACTACTCTGGAAGATGCAGAGACACTGGTGCCCTCAGGGCCCCGGGAGTAGGCGATAAGGCGGGAGAGAGAAAAAAGGAGTAAAGGAAGGTGGCCAATGTGAAAAACCAGAGAGAAGATGGGGGAAAGGAAGACTGAAAGCGTCTTCCTTCCAGCCGACGACATGCCCACAGGAACTAACTGGTGCCCAGAGGGAGCCGTCAGAAGGGGGATGAAGGCCGGGCTGCTCTCGCGCCCAGGACACTGTCCCCGGTGCCCTCGGAAGAGCGGGCGGCTTTGGAGTGAAAGTGCTTCTTCCATTCATTAGCAGTGAAGCACCTCCTCACCTTCCCAGAAGGTGCAAAACCACAAACACATCTGACCACGGGGCACCCCGGTGAGCGGGGCTGAGTCCGGCCCTGGGTCTCGGCCCCAGCGCTGCCCGTCGCCTGCTCCTGACCTCGGGACAGTCCATCACTTTGTTCCTTTGGATCTTGGGTTCCTCATCCACGTTCATAATCAGAACGACCATTCGCAAACCCTTTGTAGCTTACAAGGCATTTTCACAGACTGGTCTCATTGGATCACTTACGCCTCTGAGGCTAGGAATTGCTTTTACATTTCAGTTGAGGGAATGGAAGTTAGCAAAGAGCCCCAGGCCTGCCAGCCCTGCCACCCGGCATCCAACACCACAGCCACCTGAGGCTTCCTCAGCTGGGGGTGAGGGGGGGGTTTGAGGGTGGGGGGTGGGGGTGGGGGAGGGCAAAGAGCAGGGCTGGGAGGTGGGGAGCTGGGAGGAGAAGCACAGACAGGAAAGGGGGAGAACACGGCAGTCGTCTCCCCTGCGCGTTGCCTGGTGACCGGAGGCCAGGGAATGTGGACAAATGGGAAACATGCTGAGCTGCTGCCGGGACCTTGGGGAGACTCCCAGGAAGAAGACACAGCCTGGATGGCCGCCAGCATTCTCCTCTCCAGGCCTCACAGGGCGCCTGCCCTGCAGCCGTCTCCCCTAACCCTCTCCTCTGCGCCCCTTCCTCCCAGATTATTGACCTCACTTCCCCACCCCATTCCCATGAGCCTCTTCCCAGTTCACGGAGGTTTTGCTGCACCCCGTCTGTTCTGCGCTCGCCCCACCTCTGTGAGAGGCTGTGGGTGGCGCTGAGGAAAAGCACTCCTTCCAGGTGAGAGGCAGGCAGGAAGCATTGCTGCTTCCAGAAGAAATATCCTGGGGCACGTTGCTGGGCCATTCCTGCATCTCATGGGGTGGGCCCCACGCCCTGTTAGCCCTACAAGACCCTCCTCCTGGCCACAGCGGATTGGTCCAAGGGTGGACACATGACCCAAACCAGCCAGTCATCCCATCTCGGTGAGAGTTCCGCATGAGGATCCACAGGCGGCCGATGGCCTTTGCCTGTGGCTAGAACCAGAAGACTGACTCTCTGGACAGGGGCCTGCCACAGTCGGTCGGGAGACAGGAGGCAGAGAAAGCTGCCGGGGACGAGGGACGGGGGAGAAAAAGAGAGAGAACTGAAGCGGGCACTTGGACAGGAGAGAGCAGAAAGGGTAGGAGGGCTTTCCAGGGGGACTCCAGTTAGCTCCTTCCTCCAGTCTGCCCACATGCCTGCTTTGCGGGTCTGCCTGGAATGAGCCTTCCTTGTATCTTTATAATAAATGCCTCCACTTAAAAACTGAGTCCCGGTGGGTTCCTGGTAAGGGACATACCCAAGGCCCCAGGGTGCTCCCTCCATCCCTCCACATGCCCCCTCCTCCGGGCTCTCAGGAGCCCTGCATGCCCCTCTGCACCCTTCAGAGGCACACAGGCCTGTGGTTTCTCCCCGTACAAGCCACGCATTCCCTGGTCGGAGCCTCCCGCCCCCCTGAGCTTGGGAGGCCCTTTGTCTGGCTGGATCCCTTTTCTGAACAAGGCGCAGCACATGGTGCAACAACCTGCCATTTCTCTGATTGCACCCTCTTTTCAAAGGGTGTTTAATTTGCCTGAGGGAGTTTCTCTTGCTCACCCGGGAACATGTGCCATTATGGTAATTGACATCTGCTGGAATATCCTGCTAGTCTGGCCCTGGGCTGCACACTTGAAATATAATTTCTGTCAGGAGTCAGTGAGAAGGCCTGCAAGGGGGAGGGGTGGGGAGGGGGTGCGGAGGTGGGGAGGCCCTCTGTTCCATGGCACCTATACTCAGCTGCGCCAGTGATTTGCAAGAGGAGAGCGCGTTTCTTTAGAGTATTTACAGCAGTTCAGGGCCAGAAACGCAGAAGGACAGTGCGGTGTCCAGCCCTGGGGTTCTCAAGGGAGGACCCCCGTTTGTAGCATCATAACGTTCATCACAGGCTATTTGCCTCTTGAGAAGGAAAGAAATGCATCCCACCCCCAACTCAGGGCGAGCAAAGCTGGTCTATAAGGACCGAAGGATGCAAGGAAACGAATGTCCGATGATACCAGCAAACCGGAAGGATTCTCCCGGTGTGATCTCGGCAGCACCGTGGCCATCAGTGTGCCCCGCCCTGTGCAAACTCGAGCTCATCTTAGGAGCCCTCAGGGTACAGCCAATAGAGCAACACACTACAGGGATGGAGAGGGCAGCTAATGAATTCCAAGCAAAGACAAACCCGAGAGATTGAACTTGAGAAACAAACGCCAGGTTTTAAAAGGCGACAGGACACACGGGTAGCCTGCACCTGGGAAGGACTTGGACCGAGACCGTTTTGTAACGGAGGAGGCAGTGCCCCTTGCCTTCCTTGCCCTGCACTGTGCAGTGTGAACGTCAGCCACCCCCGAGACGTCTAAAGGCCGGCGCCTGAGGACTCCTTAGGACGGCTGCAGATTGGCCACTCACCTTGGAGAGGTCCACCAGGGTGTTGGCTTGGTCGCTCAGCTTCCTCTGCTCCATCTTGACGCTCCTCAGTCTGCGGAAAAGAGTTGGGACGGCCGCGGTCTTCGAGTGCATGCGAAGGTTTAGCCCCACCAGCAGATTCCGCATTCCCATCAGCTCATCTGGTTTGGAACCCAGCGCGGGAACCTCAAACGTGGGTGACAACTGACCAGAATCAAGGGCTTGTCAGGTCCCCAGAAAGCAAATCCTCGTCTCCATGCATGCTTGCCTCCAGCCACTTTGGGTTCTCACTGCTCCCGGATCATTTTCGGGCGTCTACGCCTTTGTCTACCCAGCGGTGGGGAACATTTTTTTCCCCCACCAAGGGCCATTTGGATATTTATAACATCATTTGCGGGCCATACAAAATTACCAAGTTAAGAATCAGCCTGCTCTATTGGTCAAACATTTAATTAACTCACCCCTGATGCCTTGGCAGGGTCAGGCCAAATGATTTCGCTGGCCTTATGCGGCCCGAGGGCCGCACGTTCCCCACCCCTGGTCTAGGCTATGCCTTCCACCTTGAATGCCCTACTCTCGGCCTTTCAGGGTTTCCCCAGAACTTCTAGGTCAGAATAACGGCTTTCACCCTCTATTTTCTCACTATGCTTTAAAAAACACGTCTCTTATAGGAAGCACCAACCACAATTTGTTCTGCTTGAGTTGTAACGTGGGGTGTGTGTGCGTGTGAACTGTGAGAACCCTTAGAGCCTCTTCCTCTAATTTTCACCTTCCATGGCAGCCTGCCCCATGTCTGGCAGTGGCAGGTGCACCACATGAATAAACAGACTGGCCTGGGTCCCCTTTATCGCCCCCGGGGCTCACTGAGTGGGACAGAATGGATCTCTCCTATCCCCTGAGGGTGCAAGGAGGGGCGGCCGAGCTGTGGGGTCCCACTCCTCCTAACCTGGCCGTCCGCTGGCCCAGCCTCCCCGCCTACTCACTGGTGGATCGCTTGGAGGAACTTCCTCTGGTGCTTCCTGACTTTGGCATGGTCGATCTTCTTCAGCAGCTTCGTGTGTTTGTAGATGAGCCACGTCTCCCGGAGGACGTTGGCTGCAGCGTTCTTGATCTACGGAAGAGTAAAGAAAGCGGGTTGCTGTCTGGTTCAGTTTCCTAATTTCACATCAGCCGTTTTCCTGTGTGCTGAGATAGCCTATCTCCTAAGGAAACGACTCTGCAGTGATCTAATTCCTTAATCAAATCATGACCTCTGAGGGTGGGTGATGAACAGGCATCTCCTGCTGATCCTGTGCTGGGGGCAGTACCCTGGAGCCTGAAGTTGGGGGGGTGATTCTTGCTCTTCCTTAATTATTTCGGGACTGCCTCCGACTGTTGTTGCTGGTGCTATATTTAGACAAGCTGCCTTAACAAGACCTGGGGGCCCGGGGCACCTTTTGAACAGATAACTATATACCGTTGCTGCCCTCGCACGCGGAGTTCCAGTGCAGAGACTCCCATGGTGCGTTGCTTGCATTCGGAGAGTCAACAGTTCCTATCAGCTGGAGGTTTTTAAGGGCCTTTGAGGAAAAGTCTTTCCCACCAAATGGAGCCATAGGTGTCCGCAAATCCATTGTTTCCTTTCCCAAACGGCCAAACACATTTACCCCGCAATCTCACCTGTGACTGTAAGTGGCATGAAGCTGAACTAATTGAAAGCTGTATCTGAAAACTGGTGAAGACATTTAGGCGTGAAAACAGAGCTGCCCCTCCCCCTCCCCTGGCTCCCTCACTGTGCGCTGCGATCACAGGTTTCAACATACGACGCTGTCACCGACTGACATGGAAAGCACGGATGTCACCCGGCCCGAGACTGAGCGGAGACATGTGAACGACATGCAGATGGCTGGGGACAAAGCTGTAGTCCAAACACAGACGTCCGCAGCAATTAGCAACACGAGCCAGCAGAAACGTCTCTTATTAAGCACACGCACAACGGCTTTTTGGTTAACCATTCCCCGGTCTGACAGCCACGCACGCTGGCCCAGGCCCCCAGCCCGGGGCCTGGAATGAGTAGGTCGGCCCAGGAGAAATCAGGTCACCAGCCAGAAAAGATTTTAATAAAACTGGTGAGTCCAGGCTCGCTGCTGCAGACTGACATCAACAGATGGGACGTTGTTAAAATCCTGGGACATGTGGGGAGGCCGGGGGAACATTGTTTTGCAGGCTGAAAACTTTTGTATGTGTTTTCAAAATTTATGACTCAGGCTGGATTACATTTTTCATCGGCCCAGAAGTGATGTTCTTAAAAGAACAGCTAAGTCTTCTCAGAAATGTCTAAGTGACATAAATAGTGCTTTTTTCCGTTCAGTAAAAATCCACTGTGACAACAGTTTTAATGACTTAATTGCCCAACTTGGGTAATTTCTTGCTTGGAAGGAAGCAGGTCATGGTGAGTATGAGCTGGAAAGTGAGCCTCCAGGTGAGGGGGGGGGGGGTGTCTCTGGGGTTCTGTCCAGGCCGCACAGAAGGGAACCCCTTCTCTCTGCATAGAGCAGTCTTCTGTAGGAAGGGGGCCATTTGACACGTGATCCCCTCAGTTTCCCTGGGTGCTTAGCCTCCAAGGAGAGCCTCACAAGAAAATAGCAGGAAACCCTGCCCTGGCCTTTAGGAGACCAGCAGAGCCCTCCCTCCACGGCTCCTCGTCCCATGGAGTTAAGGCATAAAGTGGCGATGGGCCTCTGACAGTCATCTCTGTGTCCACGTGGAACAAACATTTGCATTTGAAAAGCCTGCAGGTGGATTCTGGTTCCAGCAGTTAGGAAGCAGTTGAGGAGTAAATGCTTAATTACCTATAAGATGGGAAAAAGAAGTCTTTTCTTTAAGGTTGATAGGAGGCCCAGAGGAGGCAACGGTGGAGCTGATCGTCTGAGGCTATACGTCAGCAGGCACAGGTCTGAGTACTTCATGTGCGTGGACTCAGTTAATCTTCACAACCACCCCATCAGGCAGGTACTAATATTATCCCCATTTTACAGATGAGGAAACTGAGACACAGACCGAGACCAGGAAGTTCTAAGTGGCAAATTGAGTCCAAATGGATTTGTGTTACATACACAAACTGATATTGGTTATTATCATCTCTAGCCCAAACCCCTATTTAAAAGGAAACCACTTCAGCCCAGTGGGTGTGGCTCAGCAGTTGAGTGTTGACTCAGGAACCAAGAGGTCACCAGATCGATTCCTGGTCAGGGCACATGTAAGGGTTAAGGGTTTGAGGTGTGCAGGAGGCAGTTGATCAATGATTCTCTCAACGTTAATGTTCTATCCCCTTCTCCCTTCCTCTCTCTCTCGCTCTCTCTCTAAAAAAAAAAAAAAAAAAAAATCAAAAACATATTAAAAAAAATAAAAGGAAACAGCTTCAGAGATAGGCATTGAGGGCCAGAATCACACAGCTAGCTAATGGCAAAGTCAAAACAAGGGCCAGGTCCAAGAAGAGCAGAAGGTTTTCATGTGGTCTGAAGAAAGACCTGCCTAGATTTTATCTCTACACAAACAAAATTATTTCCTGTTTTCCAGGACCAAGGAATTGGAAAGGACATTAGAAGATTTTTTAATCATCTTGGCCTCCACTTAGCAATATGACAGAGCAGGGAGTCCGTGTCCTACACTTAACTTCAGCCCAAATGCGAGGAACTGAAATCACAGCGCAGCCAGGGCGGCTGAGAGAAGCAGTCGCATCATCTTTATGGGTCTGAACAGGAGGCCCCTGTGTATCCGGGGAACTGATGCTAAAGGCCAGCGTCGGTGCTGGCTCTGAAATTAATTGCCAGCAAACAGCCTGGCACAATGTTAAGTAGATCAATATCTGTGAGAGGAAAAGAAATAGGCTTTTAACTGCTCTGCGCTGTCCCAGGTCGACAGTAACTGCTACGGTGACCAGGGTCTCCCTTCAATTCACCTGGCAGATGAGTAGCGTTAGGATGGGGAGCAGCTGAGGTCGTGTGCCTTTCTTGAGGTTCGCTGAGTCCCTGATGGGGCTTGGGTGCCCTCTGAGCTCTCCTGGTAGATGGGGGCACCAGGGTCAGAGGTGCTCCTGGGGAAGAGATGGGTCAGGGCACTGGGAGACCCTGAGCAAGATCGGCCATGACCAGATGGGGTCAGGAATGGTGAGAAGAGGGCCTTTGTGCGTGGAAGGCTGGCTGTTCTGTTCCCTGAATCCAAAGCCTACAAGCTGATCGTTTTCTCTGCATATGTTCTCCACCCAAAAAATGTATGCTTTCATTCTGATGAACGCCAGATGGGCTCACTGACCTGCATACTCTAGGAAGGGCTTTCAGACTAATGGGGTTGAGCAAGGAAGTCATCCAAAGAAGATCTTGCAAGGAATAGTGACAGCTGACATTTACTGAGCACTTACTGTATGCCGGGCTCTGTGCTTGCGAAACACTTTGTGTTCGCAGTGTTCTATTAGCTCTCAGAAAAACCGCACAAGTGGATGCAATTATTGTCTCCTCCTTGGACCTGTTACTAAATCTCCCTGAGACTCAATTTTCTCATTCCTTCCTTCAAAAAACCTTCGCCAAGACACTGTCCTAGGAGGTGAGAAGACCAAGATGCACAGCCCGATAACATCCAGGCCCCCGTGGGGTTTGTAATCTTGTGGAGACAGCATGCAGTTTGTCATATCTCATCAGAGAAAAAGACGGCGGCGAGCTATCTCGAGAGGATGCAAGTGCGACAGATCTGAAAAATGGGGCTGGAGTGTTGATTCAATGAGAATGCACTCCCAACGCGTAGCACGGAGCCTGGCCACAGTGCTCTTCAATGTAGCTTCATGAATACCCGCTCCCCCCAGGTGAAGGTCAGCTTCTTTTTCCTCACTGCCTCCTAACAAGAGAGAACATTGAACAGAACACAGAATTCTGTCCCTTGAGCTCTTGGCCATATCATCCAAGTCCAGGGCTGGCTCGGGCCGCCTCCCTGCCAGGGTAACCTGCCACTTGGTAGTTATTACTGAGGGACTGCAGTCTGCAGAAGGAACACGAGACAGGGACGAGAGAGGCACCTTGTTGGACTCCCCATGTTTCCAGAAGCCACAGGCAGACCTGGGTGCCCCCCTGGGGGACATCTTTAGCATGGGGGGCGGGGCGGGAGGCTGGAGAAGAGGAAGGGCGGTGGGAAGATCAGCCTGCGAGGTGAGTGTGCCTTAACTTTAATAAGTACTCAAGTCGCATTTAGATGAACATCACAGTCTGAGAACCTAGAGCCAGCTCCATTGGACACTTGGCTGGGGAGCAAGGCCCGCCCCTCTTCCCCCTCTGCCAACCCCTCCCCCTCCCCCCTCAGCCACCCTGACTTCCTGCAGCTGCCACCTCTTTCACCTCCTTACTCTTCCCTCTCTCCTTCCTTCCCCATCCCTTCTCAGGCCTCCCTGTCCATCTCACCTGGAAGCGGCCCAGGAGATGGGGGCAGGAGCGAGAAGAGCTGTATTTCCGAGGTTCAAAGCTGGAGTCTGAAGCTCTTCCCCATAGCAGCACGGTAATGAATGGTGGCGATTTCTATAATGCTATTCACGTGACGCTCAGTGAGTCTGGAGGTAACCCGGCTTTTCTCTCCAGCAGCCCCGGAACCCTAACCACCAGGCTGAGTTCCAGGGAACTGACTGCTCTGGGAAATCCACTGGGTGATGGCTGGAGAGCTGCCCGCAGGCCTGAGGACAAACTGCAGCCCCGCTAGGACCCGGCTAGGTGTGAGGGCCAGGCCACCCTGGCCCTCACTGGGCCGGAGAGCCACATTCCTAAGGATGCTCCCAGCTCAAACACCGTTTCTATGTCTACTGTGCCACCCTTGTCTGGGCAGAGCCCTTGTGGGTAATAGAACTTACAGGCCCCTTCTGGGGAGAATTAGCATTCCCGACAGCCGCTCCATCGACTCTCTGATACCTTTTAAAGAGATTAAGCCTGTTATGGGAACCCACTCTTGGGACCAACCAGCTGTCAGCCACCAATCCAGTGTCCCTTCACCAGACTTTCTGTACCGGGTACAACACTGACGACTTGTCTTTTCCTATAAAAGACCTGACCATGAGTAAATCTTTGAATCAGTCTGCTGAGAAAAAAAAAAAAATCTGCTTTTCCCAGCAGGATTGTGATAACACTTTGACATATGCCCAGAATTAGAAGTTTTCTTTCGCACTGTTCAGTAGGTATACAGGGATTACTGAAGGTTTCTGAGCAGGTGCTAATGTGTTCAGAGCTAAGTCTTAGAGGCTAAGGAGACCCACGGGGGGGATGACTGGGTTAGAGCGGTGATGGTGCAAGACCGAGGTGATGGTGGCTTTAGGCACGGCGGGGCAGAGGGCATGGAGAGGGCGGCGGGCATAAGCAGCCGTGGCCATGGCAAGGTCAACTCAGGCTCAGAAACTGCTCGCAGCCCTGTGGGTCCAGATGGTACTAGTTTTTCAGGCGTGGGGAACAGTGACGTCATTAGCTGACCAGGGAAGTCAGGAGAAGGAACTAATTAGGGAAGATGTGGGTATGGCTTCATGGGGGAAAGGAACTTGGGTGAAGTATTTGGAGCGAGAACCCCTTGTGGCAAGGATAAAGAGACACAATCCTCAGGCGGTGGCACACGTGGGCAGCGTATCTTGCCTTTAGAAAGGAGAGGTGCTCTGTGAGGGCAGGCAGGAAGGATGAGGGCAGGGATCAGTCCCCCCAGAACACAAAGTGTGGCGTCCAGCAGGTGACCCTGTGGTGGATGTGTTTAGTTACATAACAGAGAGATGGGGACCTGGAGCATCGAGTGGGAGGAAAGATGGGGAGCTGGCGTCTTTTTTGCAGTCTCTCTGTGTGTCATTGACATACATGTTATCGAACGGCCTAGCGGTGAGCAATACATTAGAGTTACAGAACAACAACGGCGGTAACCTGCAAAGTCAGTGCGAGAAGGCCCGAGGGCATAGACACAGACAGGGTGCCGAGTCAGGGTGACAAGTTATACCAGCGGGAGAAGAGGAGCCGTGGGATGCGCGAGAACCAGAAACCGAGTTCTTGCTGCCCACCAATAAACACGTAAAAATCGTGTGACTCAACGGGCCAAGGCAGGGCGATCAAACACTGGAACGAGTGTTTTTGTGATTAATAGGTTACAGTTCTCTTTTTGTTTTTGCTTAGGTGTTTGAGGAATGAAGGTTGCACGCACTTGTAAGAGGTAAGAGGTTGCTTTTAACTGCAAAATTGAATTGTCCCCTCCTGAGAGTCAGAGCTGGTTCCTCCCACAACTGGGTGTTTCTCTGAGATCATTTCTCTGAATAGACTGAGCCTAGCATCGCTTTGACCCAGGAGCCACTCCGGCTGGACACGCTGGGCCTTTTGGAGGGGACAGAGGACAGACGGGGCGACCCCAGGGAGAGGGAGGTGGGCCTCCCTGAGCAGGCCAAGCTTGCAGCCGGTGTCCGCACTCAAGGTTGTCCCATAACCTTTGTGAGTCCCAGTCCCTCCAGCTTTGGGAATACCTCCCTGTCAGAACCATGGCTTCTGTGTTGTTTGGCTCTCTGGGGAAAGATACTTGACATGAAAGGGACATCTCAACAGATGGAGAGTTTTGAGCGAAGTGAGATGTTATGCGATTACAGCGGTGCCTTGCACTCACGAATGAGCAATAAATATTTGCTGATTTGATTCTCAGGCCTACTTTTCCAGGAGAAAGTGGACTGACTTGAGGAGGATGGTAGAGAATTGTTTCTGAAAGATTGACATGAGCCACCACAATCTCATCTCCTTGGCAATTGTGCTGCAGGAAAATTGTTTACTTTCCTGTCAGGGGAGGGAGCTGGCTTTCCTCAGCTTTATTTTCCTCTGGAGTCTGATAGACGGAGTGAAAAATGGAAGACGAAGGAATGACATGAAACACAGAGCATCCCCTTGGTTGCAGGAAGCAAACCAGAGCAGAGAGACTGTCCATGTCTCAGCTTCAGAGGAGGTTTTAGAGGCCAAACTCGTTGGCAGTCACTCCTGCACGTAATTGTTTCAGGGAAATAGATGCAAGTGTACTTGCACAGCGGTGCTCCGAGCTCCTCTGTGACTTGCTCGGTGCCAGGCATAGCTTCTGCTTGCGTTACAGTCACGGGACTCAACTAGAGGAGCCGGGTCCCAGGGTTGTGGGTGAAACCCGAAGGGCCCACCCCTGGGTACAATCCTGCCATCTTGATGTTATGAATTACGTTTTCTTTTGTACAATGGACAGCGCAGGCCCACCATGTACCATATGCAGTAAATCCTCACTTAACGTTGTCGACAGGTTCTTAGAAATGCGACAAAATGATGTGTAACAAAATTACTGTGCTTGGCCGGCGTGGCTCCGTGGCTGAGCATTGAACTATGAACCAGGAGGACACGGTGTGACTCCTGGTCAGGGCACATGCCTGGGTTGCGGGCTCCATCCCCAGTAGGGGGCGTGCAGGAGGCAGCCTATCAATGATTCTCTCTCATCATTGACGTTTCTCTCTCTCCCTTCTTCTCTGAAAATCAATAAAATATATTAAAAAAACAACAACACCAAAATCGATGTTACCTTAGCACCAACAAGAATGAAGTCCCTATGACATTACACCAACATTATAACAAACATCATCGTCCAAGGCCCTGCGCACAACCATCTGCATGTCACCAACATCAGAATATGTGCCTGTACCTGCTCCTTTTAACAACTGTGGAGGCTCTTAGAGAACCCGATACATGTAATCAAAAACCAAACAATCATGCACCATAAATAATTCTGCCGAGAACCGGAGTGGCCTTGGCAAGAGCGCACCCTCCCCTGCCTTCCCCGGGAGCTGGCTCGTCCTCGGCCATCCTCCTCTCTCTCTGTTCTCCCCTCCCGCCTTGGTCTCTGTTTCTAACACATCTTTACTGGGCTGCAGCGTTGGTCACTGACATTTTTCTCTAGCTTTCAAAAACCCAAATCAGCCTGGCTGGCGTGGCTCAGGGGTTGAGGGTCAACCTAGGAACCAGGAGGTCATGCAGTTCAATTCCCGGTCAGGGCCCATGCCCGGGTTACAGGCCTGATGCCCAGTGTGAGGCCTGCAGGAGGCAGCCGATCAATGCTTCTCTCTCATCATTGATGTTTCTATCTCCCTCTTCCTTCCTTTCTGAAATTAATAAAATTATTATTTTTTAAAAAAATCAAAATTCGGTTGGGCCTTCTAACCCACTTCGGTCCTAAATGAGAAGCCCTTGCTATGGCGGCCAAGGCCCCACACAGGGTTTGGATTCTCGCTCATCTCAGAAAGAGGAGATTGTGCAGGGACTCCTTCGTTCCGCCTGCAGCTCTACAGAGTGTCCCATCGGCGCTGTCGTGACACGCACGGCTCCCGCCTGCCTGCTGCCGTCTCTTCCGAGGGGCCTTTTCTTCTCTGACAGTGCCGTGGGGTGTCAGGCCCAGCGCGCTCCCCCGTCCTGCACATTTCCAGTGTTCATCCTTCCGAACCATTCGCACCGGGTACAAGTGAGAGGCGGCAGCCAGTTACAACCCAAAGGGGGAGAGCCGGATACTGACATTGTCTGGGAACGGGAGCTCTACAGCGACGATCCTCTTTAATGACATTTTTGAAAGGATTGGATTTAGACACAGTTCCCATTGCGTGTTTAAGACTCTCGACTGCCCTTCCTAATGAGGCTCATGAAAATATTTGAGCATAAACACAACCGCTGCCTCACGCTGGGTGATTTATTCAATTACCACGAGGCAAGGGAGCGGGCTGCACCCCGTGTGCTTCGGATTTAACTATCGGGAAAGCGCTTTGGCTGCCGGGGCGTGCGCAGCCATTTAACACAAGACTCGCCCCTTTTGTGGAGGCTGTTCGCAGGGGCCTGGGGCTCCCTCCAGCCTCCCCTGCAAGGAGTCGCCCCCGTCTACACCGCGTGACTGACTGCTGCCCTTCCGATCGGCTTCCACGCGGGTCTGAAGCCCCCCGCGCCCCGTGAAGGCGCGAGCAGCGGCGTCTTACCCGCTTGGTGAGCTGCGTGTCCATCATGAAGTTGTGCACGTGCTTCTCCGCTTTGGTGAGCTCCAGCTTTCGGGCCACCACGGCCACCACCAGGGCGGTGCAGCCCGCACCCTGTGGGGGGACAGCAAGGGGACCGGGGAGAGAGCAACATCATTAAGAGGCAAGGGTCAGGCGGGAGGCTCAGGGTGCCCCCGGGGCCACTGTGGGGTTCCGGGAGTGGAGCGGGGCCCTGAGCCCTCTGGCCGGTCAGAGCCACCTCACCTGCCCGGGCCCTGCTTCCTGCCCCGCGAGAAGGTCTGCATCGCCCTTGGCTTAGCTGCCGAGCCTGAGTCTTCATGGAACTGGCTAGTTCCCCATGAAGCAGGACTCCCAAGGGGGCTGAAGCTCTGGGGGGCGGAACATGCAGCCGTCCGGCCACCTGCCAGGCTGTGCGGGGGACCCGGCGGGGCTGGCACGTGCAGGCCCCGCTCCCTCATGCGTGTCCCAATCCCACTGCCGCTTCCAGACCAGGGGGCCCGGAGGAGAGGCCACACACACGCTGGAGGGAGCATGGCTGCTGCGGGCAGAGTTTTCCTGTAAATAATCTAATAAAGAGGGAACGCGTTCCCCCCAGATCGCCTCCCGGGGGAGCACTGGCTGGCCCGAGCCTGTTCTCTCCACGCTGTTGGTCCTCAGTTGGGGCTTTTTACCCGAAGGTCTAGGCTCTGACTCAGCACAAGGAAGTGATTCTTTCTCAGAGATTTTTAAAGAGGATGACAATCTTGCCTCCGACCAGGATTTTAAGGGAACTCGCAGGGGCCTCAGTATTTCGCAGAGCAGCTTTCCTATTCTGCCCAGGTAGGTCCATTGCAGGGGGTATAGGGGAGGGTGAGCAAAAAAGCAGGTTCCCCTGGACTCATGCTCTCTCCTACTCCCCTGAGCGCATGCTTGACTGTCTGAGCTCACCCGTCCCCTGCAGCCGTCACCCTCGTCCTGCACACCGGCCTGGCCCTGCCTGACCTCCACGCATGGAAGGAGATGACACGCTCAGCAAAGCCCACAGTCTAATCCTCGGCTGCAACAATAGAGTTGCCACAGAGCCCAGCTTAGCAGTTGAGGTTCAAGGACTGAAGGACTCAACCAGTGACAGTTCTGGCTCATCAGGTCTCACAGAATGTGTGAGAAATGGTGAAGAATGTTCTCAAAGGTACATTATCTGGACCCGAGTCGGGAGGAGCGGATCCGGGTAGAGCAGTGCCTACTGTCTCCTCTGCAATCTCTCTTCCCTTCTCGACAGGTTGGCAAAGGCGAGTGTAAGGTTTTGGCAGGGCTGAAGTTGGCAAAGCTCCCCCCTAGCTTTTCACAAGGTTCCCACGAAAACAATCTCATGGCTCTCGGTACATTTGGTCATTTGGTCAGCCACCCCTTGGCCACCCATTTATAGCACAACAAACGGAGCCTTTCTTTTCTGACCTCAATTTCCTCTCTTGTTCAGGGACGGCCGTGTTGCCTTGGCATCTGTAACTTAGAAGAGACTCTGGGCCCAGTTTTCAAAGGATATGTATGGGCAGTTGGGGCAGCCTGGTGTGTGGCTGTAATCAAGTTAGCCAGGCACACACACACACACACACACACACACACACACACACACACACTAGCTTAAAAGAAGCTGTCCTAGGGGGCACAGGTGTGCTCCATTCCGTTCAACCAGATCAAGTATAATCACTCTCCTTTACATGGAGTTCCAAAGGTACTTTGGGCTGAAGGTCCAAAAAAGGGGGATATATCATGGTGGTGAAAACGGAGCATCAGATGGAGAGGGCTCTCCCAGGCTCCGTCCTCTCTCCTCTCCCTGGGCCCAGGCAAAACTCGATTTAAATCAGCCCCGAGAGCCGGGGGCAGAGCAAGCCTGAAGGAGTTGCCCTGCTCACCGTGCCACTTAGGGAATTTCATCCAATCTCTCCCGAATGTCCAGGGTCAGGACGGAGTGCTCCGTGGTCCTGCCACAGCCCGCAGTGCGGCAGCTTGAGTGCAGGGGGCTTCTAATGAGAAGCTAGGGCAGCGATGGCGAACCTTTTGAGCTTGGCGTGTCAGCATTTTGAAAAACCCTAACGTAACTCTGGTGCCGTGTCACATATAGAAATTTTTTGATATTTGCAACCATAGTAAAACAAAGATTTATATTTTTGATATTTATTTTATATGTTTAAATGCCATTTAACAAAGAAAAATCAACCGAAAAAATGAGTTCGCGTGTCACCTCTGATACGCGTGTCATAGGTTTGCCATCACTGAGCTAGAGTGTTTCCACCAAGGAAACATCCATCGTATATGATTAAGATGCATTCCTGCATGGAGGCAGGAGGGTGGACTAGATGATATTTCCCCGTTTCTTTCTGTTTAAAAATGTCAAGACTCCCTTATAGATATCTCTCTGGAGGATGCTGGGCTCTTAACCCCTAATTCTAACTTGAATAGAGAGCAGTGGGCTATTCCCAGCTTTATTTTTCTTTTAGAAAATCCATCCTCTGGATGTAATTAAGGAAGTAGCCAATAAGGAAGCCTAACTTGGTCCTTTCCATTAAGAAGCAGCCTTGTAAAGGTGGGGCCAGACCTCTGCAGCCGTCAGAAGGTGGTGGGCAGTGTGCTGAAATCCACATTGGAGAGAGGGAGAGAGAGAGAGAGAGAGAGAGAGAGAGAGAGAGAGAGAGAGAGAGAGAAGAAGAAGAAGAAGAAGAAGAAGAAGAAGAAGAAGGGAAGGGGAAGTGAAGGAAAGAGGGGATGCGGAGAGAGAGAGCTGGAGTGGAGACTGCGATGGGGAAGAAGTTGTGCTCCATCCTGAACAGCAGGGGACAGAACAGGGAAAGAGGAAAGGACAAGCAGAGGCATCAGAAAAAAGGATGGGCCGAAACCGGTTTGGCTCAGTGGATGGGGCGTCGGCCTGCGGACTGAAGGGTCCCAGGTTCGATTCCGGTCAAGGGCATGTACCTGGGTTGGGGGCACATCCCCAGTGGGGGGTGTGCAGGAGGCAGCTGATCAATGTTTCTCTCTCATCGATGTTTCTAGCTCTCTATCTCTCTCCCTTCCTCTCGGTAGAAAATCAATAAAATATATTAAAAAAAAAGAAAAAAGAAAAAAGGATGGGCTGGTGGGACTGAGAAAGGAAGGCCAGAAGAACAAGGAGCCGAAGGCTTCAGTCAAAGTTAATGGTCAACTCTGGCTCTTCAGAGGAAATAAAGCCAGTGTTGGGGGACCCCCTCCCTGCTGTTGTGCTCACTCTAAGTGGTATAATGATCACTTATGTTCCTTTGGGGGCTCATGAGCCTTTTTACTCACAGCTTATCAGTCTGATGTTCCCGCAGTGGCAGTCTGGGAATCCTTGTGGGATGCGGCAGCGATGTGGGTTGGTATTAAGAGAGAAATTGCCAAGGACTTGGGCTGATTTGGGGGTGTGACAGTGCACGCTGTCCTAGCGTGGAATCTCAGAAATGGCTGGCGGACAGAGGGGGGCGTGCGAGGAGAGGATGGACGGGGGCAGACAGAAAAGGGCCAGCAGCTGCTGGGCTGACTTCCATGGGGTCAGACTGTGGAGATAGTCCATGACTCAGACTGTTGCCTTCAGATGTGCCAAGCCCTGAATCACAGTTGACACCAGCTGGATTCCCTGGGCCTTCTCTAACTCCTATTTCCACGGGAGGGTGGGAGGAGGAGGTAGGGTCCACCTCTAATGAGGTCATACTGTCCAGGGTACATGATGAGCAGGAGCACAGGAGTGAGTGAGTGGAGAGAGAGAGAGAGAGAGAGAGAGAGAGAGAGAGAGAGAGAGAGAGGCTGGCAGGGGATGAACAGGCCTAACTCATCTATGGATTTGGACCCAAATCAGAGACCCAGGCTCCTCTACACGGCTCCTCCCACTTCTTGTTTCCAAGACACATTTTCCAGCTGGAAAACCTTAGACTCTGGAAAGACGAGTCTCCCCAGGGGGAAAGTATGAGGTGTTCTTCACTTAAGGAGCAGAAAAGAAAAGAAGACATAAATGAAAGTGACAAATGGAGGAGGGAAGCCTGGAGGATGTGCGGTTGGATTCTATTTCTGCCACAGATTCCATGTAACAACTAAAATAACATCAATTGGTTTGAAACCAAGGTGTTTTAGGGGAGAGGCTCATTCTTCTAAAACTGACATTAAGCAGATGTCTCGCTGAGCCCTCTCTTCCCTCCTCCCCAAATGACTCAATTTGTTCTACCTTGTGCTTCATCACCGCTTTCCTTTGCAGTTCAAAGGAGCATCCCTCATGCCGCCCCGGGGGAAGCTCAGGGTGCCCGGGGGACATCCTGGAAGCTTTGGTCTCTTTGTCCGGAATGTAGGAAAGGCCCACAGGGCGAGTCCGGTTTTAGAAAATGGCTCCACGGACACAGGGCTCCTGCCGAGCAGTCTTGGGGGCCCCAAAGGTTCCCCAGGTGCCTGCAGGCCTCTCGGTAAGGGGAGCTGTGATTCCCCAGCCCGGAGACGAAGCAGGGAGAGCTCTCCGTCTGCCTGGTAACGGTCATCGTCAAACCCTCTGCGGACCCTGGTAAACCTGCTTTAGCAGTTGAAGTCTTTCAAACACCCGAGGCCTGTGCCAACAACGTCAAGTTGCTCAGACAATTATAGACCCTGCTTAATGGTTGATAATTACCCCGTTACTGGGATCGCCAAGAGAAAACAATGATTAAGACTATTTGCAGCCCGCACACACAAATCTTCCCTTCCCCTTCCCAAGCAGGCCTTGTCTTGGCCTGCATGGTGTCCATGGCAACCAAACAGGAAGCCCGTACCTTTCTGAAGGCACTTGCAATAATAATTCTGAGATGCACACAGTGCTGGGAGGCAAGGGGGGCGGGGGGGGCACGAGAGGACTTTCAGCAACCAGAAGCCCTGGAAAGGAGTGACTCAGCTAGAAAGGTCACATTGGTTAGAAAAGTGACCCTGGGGTTCCACACGGTGGCTGACCCCAGAGTGAGGCCACGGACTGTAATTTGGGTGAAAACCCTGAGATGAATGGAGGAAGCCCCCCGCCCCGCCCAACTCCTGTGTAGAGAGAGGTACAGGTGGGTGCATCAGGGCTCATGCAAAAGGAGAAGATGGAAGTTGTGTTGTGCTTTTAATATGGGAGGTGCTATCGGTGCCTTCTCGTCCGTTTGTTCTTCCCACTTGGACCACAGCTCTCTCCGCCAGGAGCACACGCTCCCTTCCAGGGGCCTGCTGCGGAACTGGAGCGAACACGGGTGCCGAAGGCCACCCTCTCAGGAGAGGCTGGGAGGGGCCAAGGGTCCGCCTGCCACTCAGCTGTGTCAGAGTGGAGGCCGGGAGGTGCCTGCCAGAGGGAAGGAATCAGGGAAATGACGAGGGGGCCGCTTCTTGGATGGGGCGCAGCTCCTTGCTGAGAGGGAGAATGGCTGGTATTTAAAAATAACAGAGGCTCCCAGCAGGTCCATCCACCTCGGGCCACCCACCCCTCCGCCTGCCTGCTTGCTCCTCCGTGCGCCCTGGTTCCGAGGCACGAAGCCCACAGCCCAGGAGGGGCTCAGAGACAGGAAGGCGCTGGCCTCCAGTCCTTTCTGAGAGAACAGATCGCTCTCCGGTCTCCTGGTGACAGCTGGCGCGGGGCCAGGCAGACTCCTACTAACCAATAGGAGGGGTTCGTTCCAAGGCCTCACTCTCACCCAGGATTTAGCCAACCCTGTGCTAGACCTGCCTGCCTGCTGGTGTGCACCTGGCCTGGATTTCCGTGGGAAAGGGAGGGGACTGTGCCCAGTGGTGACATGCCAGCCCCGGGCCCTCCTGCTCACAGGAACACTGCCCAGGCCTCTCCTGAGCTCCGCTGCCTTGACATGTGATCAGTTCCAGGAGGCCCCCACCTCTGGTGAGGAGTTAATCCCTTTCCACTGCAGAAAGAAAGCCCTTTTCATTGCCGAAGGTGGGTCGTTTTTCCTCCTGGGAGAATGAATGGAACCTGAGGGGCCCTGGAAGGAAGGCTTTCCCCGGGCGAATAATGGGGCTGCAGGGAAGGCTCCCCGGGGGAAGCCACCAGGAGGCCTAGGACAGCCACAGGCATCCTGTCCACCCTCACCCCCCACCGCACCCCCATGATGCCCGGCTGACGGGTGCTTTCTCCTCTGGAGCCTGTGTCTAGGATTCTAGGAAGGAGGCTCAAGAGCAGTGGCTGCCTGGCCTGGACCTAAAGCTCAACAAGGCTGAGGAGCCCCATCCCCTGGCCCGGGAAGGTGGGGTGGAGGCCGGGGGACGGGAGGACCCGCCAACCCCGCGGGCCTGTGCAGCTCCCCATGCTGACAGAGCAGGTTTGCACAGAGCATCGCCATCCCTGGGGAGGGCAGGGCGGGCCTTCCGTCCTCGCTCTGCACTGGGGAATGCTGGGGTCCGGCAGGTGGAGTGCCCTGCCCGGAGTCCCCAGGGAGGACAACCGTGGGAATTCAGACTCTGATCCTGACGCCCCCTCCAGGCCCTCCCACACACGGTGCTTCGAGGGCCCCCGTGATGGGCAAGGGTGTGTGTTGGGTGGGGGTGGCGGGGCGATGGGTGCAGCCCAGCTGCTGGGCACCCGCAGGGGGATGGGGATGGAGTCACAGTCTCGCTGATGCCGGAGCTGGGAGAGACCTGGCACGGGGAGCCCAGCGCCCCAACAGGCAGATGTGGAAACTAAAGTCTGGAGAAGTCGAGGGCTTCTCCCACCCGGTGGCCGCCCAGTCCAATACCGGCCTCGCCTCGTGTGGCCTCTCAGTGCTGTCCCCGTCCCTGCCTCCGCGAGCTCAGCTACGCTTAGCAGATGTCACGCAAGGTCTGCGGGGCCCAGGGGGCGGGAAGGACAATTAGCCGCAAGGCTTGGTGCTCACTGCGGGGAGCACACTGGGCCATCCGGTGGTGGAGGGTAGGAAGAGGGGGTCAGACCCATGGTCAGCTTCACCCAGCAGTTTATTTTCGGGGGCGGGGATGGAAGAGGGGACTGTGAAGAGACCATCAACTGTCAGGAACCAGGACCTATCCCTACTTTGGGAAAGGAAACACCAGCGAGAGAAACCATTGCGGATTTCACATCTGCCTCTGTGTGCACAGAGGTGCACGCTGGTCTGTGTGCGAGCAGCCGGCCCCACTCCCTGACAGAAAGGCCCCTCTTGCCCCGAAGAAGATCTCTCGTTCGGAGGGTGGGGAAGGGGGACGGGCAGAGGCAGGTACTCACCATGATGCCGGTGAGAAGACACACACCTTTGCCACAGTATGTGTGGGGCACCATGTCCCCATAACCAATGGAAAGGAATGTGATGGAGATGAGCCACATGGCACCCAGAAAGTTACTAGTTACGTCCTGCTGGTCATGGTACCTGCCAAGGGGAAGACAGGAGTTAGTGGAAGGAGCCGCCACGTCCGAGAGCACGGGCTGCGGGCAGATCCTGGCGGGGACGGAGGTGAGACCGTTCGCTGTTCACTGAGGCGGGAGCAGCAGCGATGGCGACAGGGAGATCTCATTAGGCGACTCAAGGTGCCAGGACTCTACCCACCCGGGTCCTGCCGGCAGCTCCCGCTCCCCCCGCCCCCACATGCTTGTCCTGGAGGTAAATGCAGGGCCACGGCTTGCACTAGATTGTAGGCGTCCCTTTGGTGCTGGTAAAATAGCTTTGGATGAAATCTGGAGGTAATAAAATTTAGATTTTCCCCTTTCAACCGACAGTATAAATGCATGTGGATGTGATTAATTTGAAAGCACAAGTTCCTGAACAGGAAAAATGTTAAAGAAAAAAAATCGCCAAACATATTTAGCAATTTCCTGAAGATTGATGGATCCCCAAGACTGGCACATCCCGGCGCCTGGAGGGGGGCCCTGGTGGGTTCTCAAGAGCTGTTTCCCGGGGTGCTGGGCTCTCTGCCAAGGGGTGTCTATACCTCCGGGGCCTCATGGCTGCCCCGCCCAGAAGGAGCCAACTGGAAACATGTCACACCATCCCCTCTGCCCAGTGCCCAGTCCACCCATCCTTTTCCTCCCTCCCTCCCTCCCTCCCTCCCTCCCTCCCTCCCTCCCTCCCTCCCTCCCTCCCTCCCTCTCTCCCTCCCTCCCTCCCTCCACCCCCAAACTCCAAGGCCCCCTGCTGTCCAGCTGAAATAGTGTCCACAGGACCCGTCCTCTGCCTCAGGGCTCTCAGCCCAGGGGAGGGGCCTGTGGAAAATGCAGACATTTGCAGGAAGGTCTGTATGTGAGTAGACGAGGCCCCTGGAGACAGGAGGGAAAGGCCAGTGGCCTCGGTCCCAAACGCAGGAGGGTTAGTCAGAGGCTTCCGTCCCAGGCAGGCTGGGGAGGGTTCCAGGCGGACGGAGGGCCTTCGGAAAGCCCAGGGGCTGACTCGAGTGCGGGGCTGGCTGCACCAGGGGCGCCAGGGAAGGCAGACGTGGGTCCTTTCGCAAAATGTTCTCCAACAGGATCCGCCTGAATGACACACAGGGGCCCTGCATTTTATCCTGCAGGGACATCGCTCCTCCATAAAATCTCCCCACCAGCCTCCGGGCGGCCACCGGATGGGCGTCCACACCAACCCGGGCGGATGGAGCGGAAAGCCACTCCGGAACTCTGATCCGCAACTGGAGTTACTAAGGCACACACATGGGTCAATGCACGTGGCCGTGGCGAGCTGGGGATGGGGTCCGGCGGAGGGAGGCCTCCAGGAGTGTGAGCTACTATGGCCCGTGCTCTCCCTGCCCCCGCAGGGCCTGGGGCCAGGTGGGTCTTCGGCAAATGTTGCTTTTCCTCCCTCTCCCCCAGGGCGGGTGCGCAGGGCAGGCTGCGGTTCGGGTGCATCTGGGGTGGCCTGGAGGAGGCAGAGCTCCGCTGGTCAGAAGGAAGATGGTGGGCACGGGAGTCGGGGACCCAAAGGGACAGAGTGACCGACACCGTTTATCCACTCCTCCTGTCCTATTGGGAGTCAGGCGGCACAACCTACCATGCGCCTGGCACTTGGCATACAAACACTCCAATTCTCACCACATCCTGTAAGATATTTTCTAAAAATAGGTTTTTACTGATTTCAGAGAGAGGAAGGGAGAGGGAGAGAGAGAAACATCAGTGATGAGAGAGAATCATCGACTAGCTGCCTCCTGCACGCCCCCAACTGGGGATTGAGCCTGCAACCCGGGCATGTGACCTGCCTGGGACTCCAACCGTGACTTCCTGGCTCACAGGTCGATGCTCATCCACCGAGCCACACCCGCAGGGCCTGTGTATTTCCACGGGTAAGTACCTGGGAGCACAGAAACACTGGGTGACTTGCCCGAGGACACACAGGAAGTAACCAAAGCGAAGCCCATGCTCTCTTTTTAAAAAAAATATATATCTTATTGATTTTTTACAGAGAGGAAGAGAGCGGGATAGAGAGCTAGAAACATCGATGAGAGAGAAACATCGATCAGCTGCCTCCTGCACACCCCCTACTGGGGATGTGCCCACAACCAAGGCACATGCCCTTGACCGGAATCGAACCCGGAACCCCTCAGTCCGTAGGCTGACACTCTATCCACTGAGCCAAACCGGTCAGGGCAAAGCCCATGCTCTTTGCTCCGCTCCCCCCAGCATGAGAGAGGCGGAAGCAGCTGCTGTGCGCCCTGGGGAATGGTGAGGAGGTTTTAGCAAGAAGAGGGCACCAGGGCGCCCGTAGCAGGCGATGAGGTGGCCTTGGAGACCAGGGGTCCGCATTTGGAAGGCCTTGAATTCTAGGCTGGCAGGTTTGGATTCTGTCTTAGAGATTTGGTTCCTGAGCAGATGAGTGACAAAATGGCATGGCCTGCCGGGGAGAGCGGTCTGCGGGTGGTGAGCAGGATGTTTAAAAAGGTGGGACACAGAGGTGGGGTAGCCGGGGCAGAGCAGGTGCAGCCTTCCTCGCCCCCAGGAGCCTGGCCCTGGCAGCGCCCAGTGAGAGCACCAGTGGGCGGTTCAGCCCTAACTGGAGTCCAGCACCAGCCCCAGCCCCGGAGAGCGGTGGCATTAGCCTTTCTAGGGCTGTCCTCACAAGGCATGCAAGCCTGGATCCCCAGGACCTCTGAAGAGCAGACATCCCTCCCCAAAGCTCACTGGTGACACCCCTTACCTGCCCTCTCCCACCTGCTCCACTCACTGCCCACGAGGTTCTACGGTAACCCTGAGGGCACCCTGGCTGCTGCTCCTGCCAGCTGCCTCATCTCCCCAGGATGGGGCCTGTCCCTGCTCATCTGGTCACACTGGGGCAATGTAGACAGGTGATACCCGACTTTTATATATATATAATATATTTTTATTGGTTTCAGAGAGGAATAGAGAGGGAGAGAGAGATACAAGCATCAATGATGAGAAAGAATCATTGATTGGCTGCCTCCTGCAGGCCCCACACCAGGGATTGAGCCCGCAACTCGGGCATGTGCCCTGACCAGGCATCGAACTGTGACCTCCTGGTTCATAGATCTGATGCTCAACCACTGATCCACGCTGGCGGGTGGTACCTGACTTTGATCCCCAAGATGGAGTGCGCCCTTCCCCTGACTTAAGGTGCCAGCCCTATCCCAGCTCTGACGTGGTTTTGGAGGGGCAGCTGCCCTGCTCATCCCGTTCCCCACAGCCCAGGGCTCTGCCAGGCCCTCAGGCCACCACAGTCCCCTCCACGCCCAGCCTGCTCTGGGCTGGGAGGGATGGTGGCTGACCCTGGCTTGCAGGGCCTGTGCCGAGGTGTGAGGGGACATCCCTCCCTGGAGAGGTGGACTTCGGAGCCCGGGAGACCACCAGACTCAGTGACAGCCCCGTGTGGGGGCCCAGAAGCGGGGAGACTTAAAGACAGCTCCCTGCCACAAGCCAGCCGCACGCAAACACATGTTGCAGAGTCAGAGCCGGCGTCAGTTCATCAGATGCATTTCTTGGAAGAAGTCTTGGGCCAGAATGGGAGGTGGGGATGGTGGGTGGGGAGAAGGTGAGCAGCTATTCTAGGGCTCGGTTCACCTGGCTTCAAGCCCCAGCTCCACCTTAAGTAATTCCATGGCTGTGGGCAAGGGACTTAACCTTTCTGTGGCCGGTTTCCTTATCTGCTGATGGGAGGGTTAAGGGAAATATTGCAGTGCTCAGCCCAGAGGAAGTGCGCTAAACGTCAGCAGAGCTCAAAGCGGAATGAAGCGTACGGCAGCAAGTAATCTGTCTCTTTCTAAGGTTGATGTTCGATTTACTGCTTTATTGTTCTCTCAATTCCCTTTATGTCCTTTTGGGTTTCTTTTTCGTTCACCATATAAAATCCGACGGGTGCTCACTCTGTGTGCCGAGGAGAGAAGAAGGAGATCCTGAGGCTGTCACTCATTCAATGTAACACTGCACCAATCGCTGTCCTCGGGAGGGGGCTCTAGCGCAGCGGTCGCCAACCGTGGTCCGCGGACCCCTGGTGGTCCGTGAGGTCCGAAAGGTTGGCGACCGCTGCTCTAGAAGATGCCGAGATGAATCGGACACACACCCTACACTCCCGTGATGTGGGGCCTCGTCATAGAGGTAAGACACACATGCAACTCGCCAAGCAGGAAGTGATGATCGAGAGAGCAGGCCTGGTGATTCATACTGTGGGAGTGGGGAGGAGGCAGAAATTACATCCAAACCTATTCACAATTTTAGAGTGGTTTACACTTGTCACAAATTCACATATGAATTTCATGCTATTTTTTACAATCAAGAATTTTTTTGGGAAAATGGTTTCTTGTTTTTCATTAAGGGCTAAGAAGGAAAAGGTGTAGTTTTTATTTTTTGGGGAGGGGGGCTGGTTATTATGCTTATTCATTTATCATTAGGGTGTGTAGACCAGTGATGGCGAACCTATGACACGCGTGTCAGAGGTGACACGCGAACTCATTTTTTCGGTTGATTTTTCTTTGTTAAATGGCATTTAAATATATAAAATAAATATCAAAAATATAAGTCTTTGTTTTACTATGGTTGCAAATATCAAAAAAATTCTATATGTGACACGGCACCAGAGTTAAGTTAGGGTTTTTCAAAATGCTGACACGCCGAGCTCAAAAGGTTCGCCATCACTGGTGTAGACCATGGTTTTTCACTTTTTAATATTATAAAATAAATGTATGGTGGTATAAAGGTGATGGATTAAACACACATGCTGCTTTTGCCCCTTCTCAAATCCCTCTACAACTAACTGTGTGAGTTCCCTGCTTTTAAGAATCAGCAGAGACCCAGGAATCCCCAAACAGCTGAGTAAGGTCTCTAGCATATAAGACACAGGCCAAATCAGTCAATTAAACAAAGAAACAGAACTCTGGATCAAATACAGATCATTCGCAGAGAACTCTTGAAAAAAACCCTATGACTAACATCGTAAGA